CTGCCGGCGGTGCAGACAATGCGGTAACGTACATGCTACCGTACCGCCCAACTGGGTCTTATTTTCGGAACATGGAGAAGAATACCCGAGAGGTCCGAATATATCTCCGACATGCGAGCGTCAGAACCGTCTTCCCTGCCGACGGGAACACGACTCTCCCCATGTGACAGTGCGGGATACACGGGACGTGTCAGAGGGATTCATACGTGTGCACGCACCTTGTTTAGCCTTCGGGAGAACCGGCATGTTCGTGAATTCATTCATCAATCTCACACTGAAAGAGACAAAAAGGATTTGTATTCAGAAAACCCGACTTCACCGAGAGTGCAGCCTATCCCTTTACTAGAGAGCGGTGACATCACTGAGAATGCAGCCTATCCCTTTACTAGAGACCGGTGACATCACTGAGAATGCAGCCTATCCCTTCACTAGAGACCGGTGACATCGCTGAGAATGCAGTCTATCCCTTCACTAGAGACCGGTGACATCGCTGAGAATGCAGTCTATCCCTTCACTAGAGACCGGTGACATCGCTGAGAATGCAGTCTATCCCTTCACTAGAGACCGGTGACATCGCTGAGAATGCAGTCTATCCCTTCACTAGAGACCGGTGACATCGCTGAGAATGCAGTCTATCCCTTCACTAGAGACCGGTGACATCGCTGAGAATGCAGTCTATCCCTTCACTAGAGACCGGTGACATCGCTGAGAATGCAGTCTATCCCTTCACTAGAGACCGGTGACATCGCTGAGAATGCAGTCTATCCCTTCACTAGAGACCGGTGACATCGCTGAGAATGCAGTCTATCCCTTCACTAGAGACCGGTGACATCGCTGAGAATGCAGTCTATCCCTTCACTAGAGACCGGTGACATCGCTGAGAATGCAGTCTATCCCTTCACTAGAGACCGGTGACATCGCTGAGAATGCAGTCTATCCCTTCACTAGAGACCGGTGACATCGCTGAGAATGCAGTCTATCCCTTCACTAGAGACCGGTGACATCGCTGAGAATGCAGTCTATCCCTTCACTAGAGACCGGTGACATCGCTGAGAATGCAGTCTATCCCTTCACTAGAGACCGGTGACATCGCTGAGAATGCAGTCTATCCCTTCACTAGAGACCGGTGACATCGCTGAGAATGCAGTCTATCCCTTCACTAGAGACCGGTGACATCGCTGAGAATGCAGTCTATCCCTTCACTAGAGACCGGTGACATCGCTGAGAATGCAGTCTATCCCTTCACTAGAGACCGGTGACATCGCTGAGAATGCAGTCTATCCCTTCACTAGAGACCGGTGACATCGCTGAGAATGCAGTCTATCCCTTCACTAGAGACCGGTGACATCGCTGAGAATGCAGTCTATCCCTTCACTAGAGACCGGTGACATCGCTGAGAATGCAGTCTATCCCTTCACTAGAGACCGGTGACATCGCTGAGAATGCAGTCTATCCCTTCACTAGAGACCGGTGACATCGCTGAGAATGCAGTCTATCCCTTCACTAGAGACCGGTGACATCGCTGAGAATGCAGTCTATCCCTTCACTAGAGACCGGTGACATCGCTGAGAATGCAGTCTATCCCTTCACTAGAGACCGGTGACATCGCTGAGAATGCAGTCTATCCCTTCACTAGAGACCGGTGACATCGCTGAGAATGCAGTCTATCCCTTCACTAGAGACCGGTGACATCGCTGAGAATGCAGTCTATCCCTTCACTAGAGACCGGTGACATCGCTGAGAATGCAGTCTATCCCTTCACTAGAGACCGGTGACATCGCTGAGAATGCAGTCTATCCCTTCACTAGAGACCGGTGACATCGCTGAGAATGCAGTCTATCCCTTCACTAGAGACCGGTGACATCGCTGAGAATGCAGTCTATCCCTTCACTAGAGACCGGTGACATCGCTGAGAATGCAGTCTATCCCTTCACTAGAGACCGGTGACATCGCTGAGAATGCAGTCTATCCCTTCACTAGAGACCGGTGACATCGCTGAGAATGCAGTCTATCCCTTCACTAGAGACCGGTGACATCGCTGAGAATGCAGTCTATCCCTTCACTAGAGACCGGTGACATCGCTGAGAATGCAGTCTATCCCTTCACTAGAGACCGGTGACATCGCTGAGAATGCAGTCTATCCCTTCACTAGAGACCGGTGACATCGCTGAGAATGCAGTCTATCCCTTCACTAGAGACCGGTGACATCACTGAGAATGCAGCCTGGGGTAAGGGTGATGCGGACAGGCGCTGGGCCCCCCTATAATGCGGGTAAAACACACTATTTGGGATGCTGCACCGACGCGTGATCTGAACTCTCAGCAGGAAGTCGCACACACGTGTGCATGTTGGGTACTCACAAGCTGTCAATCATGGGCGTTGATGTACACGGCCGGTCCAGTTTGCTGTACATTGGAATGCACTTCATAAGATGGTACATCGGGGGACAAGCCACCAGAGCCTGTAGAGTCTGAGAAGGAAGATGCTAAGGAACGGAAACTGGAGCAGAGGAGCAATATCGCCGACATATACCGACTCTAAAGCTGAGGCGGTGCGACGCGAGCCCATGCCGGCCCGGGGCTCCGTGTAAAGGATACGGCATTGATGTAGCACCAGTTGCCTTTGTTGACGAGCCCGCGGGGCTGCAACGACACCGGCTTGTGGACGAGCTTCACATTCTCCAACACCTCTGCAAAAGGAAACCAAACAGGTCAACACCGAGGAACACCCACCACGGCCCAAATATGGGGA